TGTCGACCGTTGACAGCATCGTACTGCCACTTGATGTCCGCCAATACGCTAAATCCTTGCGAAAATCTTTCAAGAATTTGAATGATACATATGGCATGGAACTTCGCCAGAATAACATCACCTTACATTACATCGATGCGGCAATTATCAGGTAAGGCCATTGTATATTTTTCCTTGACGATTTTCCCTTTTTAGTATATCTTTAATCTTTAAAATTCTTTAAGCACTGTAGCCATTCAGCATGCTACGCTGATTTTCAATGGGCCGTGCACACTATACAACATATATTAACCTAATTCTATAATACAAAATAGTGAAGCCTACATACTGGTCAGCTTCACAATATAATATATACTAATACATTAAACAACTAATTATTCTAATTATAGTACAAAACTACTGATTATTACTGATTAACCCAAGGGGACTTAATCGGTTCTGTAGTGATTGATGAGCATAGATTTAGCAACATTTAGTGTGATATTGTCGACGTTTTGTCTAATGTTATCCGGGAGATTGTTCCAAGATTTTGCCGCTCTATATGAAACTTTTTTTGAGAAAATTTGTGTTAGGTTTCTCAAGGGAAAGTTGGCAAAAGTTACTTCTCAATTTGTACGTTTCGTTTGAACAGAAATTAAACATTATTGTGAGATAATTCGGAGAATTAGCAGTAAGTGCTTTAAAAGTAACAATATTTTCCCGAATAGATAAGTTTTTATGGATTGGCATCCAATCAAGTTTTCGAAATATTTCATTGGACTGTACATCGTATGAAGCGCCGGTTATCACACGTGCCGCTTTCTTTTGAAGTTTAGAAAGCTTTGTAGGTTTACTTTTGTAGCCATCATTCCAAACAGTGGAACAGTAATAGAAATTCGGAATTACAAATGCATTATACATTTTATTAAGGATATGTTCAGGCACAAACGATTTAGCTCTCCTTAATAAAGCAATATTGTTTGAAATCTTTTTATTTTGTTCGTCGATATGCTTGTTCCAAGTTAGATGTTCATTTAAAATTACACTAATAACTTACTTTAATAACTTGATTACCAAGTTTAATTATGGGGCCCTGCTCAAATGACGGTACTCGCTGGCGTTAACCTATTATTATAAATTCAGTTTTCGTTTCGTTTAGTGTAAGTTTATTTGCAATGAGCCATTCGTTAACATTCAAACGATCATGGTTAAGTTTTGATTCAATTTCATCTACGGTTGGAGCACTGATGGAAAGAGTTGTATCGTCTGCCAATAATCTAGCCTTAGTAGTTTGGAGACATCTGGGCAAGTCGTTAATATATGAGAAACAAAAACGGCCCAAGGTTGGATCCCTGTAGAACTCCACACTTAAGTTCGATTACATCTGATTGCTTACCATTAATAGAGCAAATCTGTTTCCTGTTACTATTGTATATTGTATCTAATATATTGTATCTTAGTGAAAACGATTATATTAATCTTAGTTCTAAGGACTTACGCAATTCACGTCGGTGTCTTCACAAAACCATGACGAGGCCATGTTTACAATTATGAGCGCGAAAACGCAAGCCATGCAGTCAAAACGCTAAGACGTTAACTTTCCACTCAACAATTCACACGTGAAAAATATCGTCCGCCTTGAGCGTACGATTTTTATTCCACCTATTTACTACAGGGAAATCTCTACACTTATATACAATAAATTATACTAGAAACACATAATAACCTCATGCTTTTCTAATAACCAAACAATTATATTTCCCAAACATTGTTTCAACGCTGGCTCGTATTTAGTGGTAATTATCATTTTCTTTTTTACATTTTTGTGCAGAATTGCAAAAATAATTTTAAAAATTAGTACTTTTAATTTCAGAAATATAAAGCTTTGATTTAATTTATAAAATTAATACCCTCGCCGCGGGCCATCGATCGGACAGTGCATGCAGACCCGTTGGGTATTGCCGTTGGGTCTTTCCTCTTTTTAACAATATCAAACAGATCAATTTGTTTTCTTCATGCATTTGCAGATTCAATAACGCATCTGTGAAATTCCATGAAGAGGTAGACAAAGCCATCAAACGTAAGAACGAGATTGAACTCCGTGATCTAAATGACAGGATGGTGAACGTAGAAAAATCCTTCATTTACAGTCTTGGTCTTCCAAATCAAAAGTTCAACCGTCACGTTATTTTTGCGCCACCTTTCAACAACAATTATGCCAGTGCTCATTTCCCTGGGATCTCTGATCTCATGTTTCCGAGCAATAAGACTGAGAAAGACTGGGGGGAAATACGAAGACACATTTCCATTGTATTCAAATCAATCATGTCTGCAGCAGAGACGCTAAATGAAGACGCAAAGTAAAATTTTTGATATACGTAAACCAGTAAGTCACCAAACTTTAAAAACTGCAGCATTATAGTAAGATTTCTTCCTAATCATGCACCCGTGAAAGAAGTTAACACAAACTATTTCCTAGTATAGCTATACAAATATAGAATATGAAGAAAGACATGGAAGGGAAGGAAGACATATTCAAAAAGGAAACGCGCTGTGCCTGGCTCGTCTACTCTGTCTGAGTATCGGTTTATGCGAATATAATATTTAGAAAAAGGGGCAAAAAAGAGTAAAAGAATAAAGCTATATAGCCTTAACTCTTTGTCCATTTTTAGCAACTTTTTCATTTTTGGAAAAAGGGGCAAAAAAGTAAGGCTATACGTGTAGGCTTAACTTTTCGTCCATTTTTAGCCACTTTTTTCATTTTTAAAAAAGGGGCAAAAAAGAGCAAAAAGTAAGGCTATATAGTTCTTTCAAAAATGAAAAAAGTGGGTACAAATGGCAGAAAATAAGGCTATAGCCTTAACTTTTCGTCCATTTTTAGCTTTTTTTTTCATTTTTAAAAAGCCGGGCAAAAAAAGGATAAAAGAATAAGGCTATAGAATTAACTTTTTGTCCATTTTTAACAACTTTTTCATTTTTGGAAAAAGGGGCAAAAAAGTAAGGCTATACATGTAGCCTTAACTTTCCGTCCATTTTTAGCCACCTTTTTCATTTTTGAAAAAGGGGCAAAAAAAGGGGCAAGAAAGTAAGCTTATAGCCTTAAATTCAGTTTCGTCCCTTTTTAGCCACTTTTTTCATTTTTGAAAAAGGGGCAAAAAATGGTAAAAAATAAGGCAATAGCCTTAACTTTTTGTCCATTTTTAGCCACTTTTTCAAAAATGAAAAGTGGTTAACTAAAAATGGCAGAAAGTAAGGCTATAATAATAATAATAATTTATTCAAATGCATGACCTAATTACAGGTATTGCTAGAATATTCTATATATATATAATTACATACAGTACAAGGTATTGAAGAAACGAACATATATAAAGTGAAAGTGTCATTATAGTGATTTATACATCTATAATTTATGGATAATATAGATCGTACTCGTAGTTTCTAAGTAAGGTTTTTTTTATGAAAGATTGGAAAACAATTTGCAGTGTGATTTTCGCAATGAATTTGAAATTAGCTGCACTCCTGCAGTCGTTTTTTATTACAAATTTAGTAAATAAGTTAATGAGAACAATGTCATTTGAGGACATTAGATGTTCTAGTAGTTTTTGTTTAGTCTGAGATGTTGTACTCAATTGGAAAAAATCTTTTAATATGTCATTTGTATTGTTTCTTAAAGTTTCATATGTTTTGCATGCAAAAGCAACATGAAATTCATCTTCTACTTCGCCGGAGTTACAAAGTTTACATAGACGTTGTTCGCGTGGAATGTTTTTGTATCGCCCGTATTCAATTTCGAGTTTGTGATTACTGATTCTAAATTTTGAGAAATTTTTTCTTTGTATTGGGTTTTTTATAAGATGTAGATAGTCTTCTAGTTTATAATCTTTTTTGAATTGACAAAAGAAGGACAGTTTTGGAGATTTCGTTATTTTGTGTTTCCAAAATTCGACATATTTTTCTTTTATTCTATTAACTATGGTTTTTGTATCGATACTTCTTAGGGCAATTTCAATATTAGTTGTTTCATCATCTTGAGAATAGTAAGGTTTTAACATGTTCATAGCGTTTGAGTAAAATGATTCTTTTCCATTTTTGTGCAGGTCTCTCGAAACAAATAAGGCCTGTTTTGCGATTGTTGTATCAGGTAGTTCGAGGATGTGTTTTAGGTAATTGATTATGTTTTTTTGTATTGTGATTAAAAGCGGAAATTTTCCTAGTTCTGCTCTGCAAGCTATATTGGTAGCCTTTCTGTTTACTCCCAGATATAGCTTGCAGAACCTTAGGTGGGCTTTTTCTGTTTGTGAATTGTCCCACTTATTGTAGTCATTTTTTTGGTATGCTCCCCAAACTTCAGAGTTATATAATAGAATGGGGGAGATAACTCCATTAAAAATTTTGATAGCTGTCTTGGGTGATAGTGAACTAATGTCAAGTTGTCTGCGAATTTTGTGTAAAGCATGTAATGCCTTTTCACTAAGTTGCTTTTGTGTGAGTTTAAATTTGCCATTTGGTTCTAATTTAAGGCCAAGATAAGTATATTCTTTAGTAATTTCAACAGTATTGTTACCAATAGAAAAATTCAGTTTTGGAATTTTAGAGTTATGTTTTTGGAAGATCATGATTTTTGTTTTTTTCATATCTACTTCCATTAGCCATTTTTTGCACCAATTATGAAGTTTATTCAAGCAGTTTTGAAGTCCTGATTTAGATCGTGATAGGATGATAAGATCATCAGCATATAAAAGGCTATTTATTGCGGTTCCATTTGGGAATACTAAAGGATCTGATTGTGTTTTTTCAAAAAGTTGTGGTAATTCATTAATATAGATATTAAATAATAATGGGCTTAATATACAACCTTGACGTACGCCTTTCTTATATTGGAAAAATGATGTTCTATAGTCTGATAGTTTGATGGCACATTTTGTTTTCGAGTACATGTTTTTAATTAGTTCGTAAAAGCGTCCTCCTATTTCGTTTTCAAGTAGTTTTAAATAAATTATAAGCCTTTATGCCAGATTGAGTCAAACGCTTTTTTAATTAAATTAAAATCAACAAAACATGCATATATCTTTCCATTCTCACTTTGTTTTACATATTTATCATGTAATGTTTTTAGTGTGAGAATGTGGTCTGCTGTTCTGTTTCCAGAAATAAATCCTATTTGCGTAGGGTGTATTGATTTCTTTTCTTTAGTATAACATGCTAATCTAGTATTCAGAATTGAGCAGAATAATTTGCCCATACAGCTAGATACGCAGATTCCTCTGTAATTGCTGGGATCTAAAGAGTTTCCTGATTTAAATATTGGAGTTATAATGCCTTCACACCACGATTCTGGAAAGTGTCCAGATATTAAAATGGCATTGAAGACTTTAAGATATCCTTTTAAGAGGATTCCAGTGCTAGATTTGATCATTTCATTTTTAATTTTGTCGCTGTAAGCAGCTTTCTTTAATTTCATATTTTTTGCTGCATAAAGTAAATCTGTATCAGTGATAGTTCCGTCAAGTTTATTAAATTGATCCTTGGTTTTTTCATAGTTTTCTAAGCATTCAAGAATTTCTTCTTGCTCATCACCTAATTTATGTTCAGAATGTAGTTTTTCAAAATAAGCCAATTAAGGCTATTGCCTTAACTTTTTGTCCATTTTTAGCGACTTTTTTCATTTTTGGAAAAGGCAAAAATGGTAAAGAAATAAGGCTATAGCCTTAACTTTTCGTCCATTTCTAGCCACTTTTTCAAAAATGAAAAGTGGTTAACTAAACATGGCAGAAAGTAAGGCTATTGCCTTAACTTTTCGTCCATTTTTAGCCACTTTTTTCATTTTTGAAAAAGGGGCAAAAAAGGGTAAAAGAATAAGGCTATATAGAATTAACTTTTTGTCCATTTTTAACAACTTTTTCATTTTTGGAAAAAGGGGCAAAGAAGTGATATAAGGCTATACATGTAGCCTTAACCTTTTGTCAATTTTTAGGCACTCTTTTCATTTTTGGAAAAAGGGCAAAAGGGGCAAAAAAGGGGCAAAAAATGGTAAAAAAATAAGGCTATTACAAAAATATAAAAAAATAAGGCCTTAACGTTTCGTTTCGTTTTAGCCATTTTTTTTCATTTTTGGAAGAAGGGGGAAAAAAGGCGAAAAAGTAAGGCTAAGCTTAACATTTCGTCCATTTTTAGCCACTTTTTTCATTTTTGAAAAAGGGGCAAAAAACGGCAAATACAGTGAACAGGCTATATACAGTGAACAATTTTTATATTAAAGAAAAAAAAACACGGACTTACTGTAGGATGATCAAACTGACTAAATTGCAGGAGGCAGTTCTAAGAAGATGGATTCTATTGGCGAACATTGAGCATTTCAAACTTGATAATAAGTGTACATAACGTCAGTTATTTTAACTCGATGTTTTCAACCTTCACCTGCGTGGGACCCTCTGGATCTTTTGTGATTAATAACACTTGACCGTTTTTTGACTCGTCATTTATGAGTTTCATCACTTCATTGCCAACGTCTGACGGTCTAGGAAAGAAGGTTTAGCATTCGTCAGAATTAAAAACGGTATGAAATCCAATATTTCAAAACTGAAAATGAGAACTAGGCCAGATTTCAAGTCCAAGCCGATTATTCCAGGCGAAGCCAAGGTCTATAGGGCTAGCTCCGATGACGGGATCCGAGGTTCAGTTCGAATTTGAGGTTTTGACATATCCCATACTCATAAATAAAAGTATGGTAAATTACATTTAATCCATGTTCAATGACTAACATAACTTTTAAAGGTGCATGGCTATAACAGTTTTATAATTGCTTTTAATACCATCAATCAGTTATCCATATTTACGTTGCCAATTAACAAATTAGAGTAAATCACTGGGGAGCACTAGGGTGAAAAATTGCCTTCACTTGAGGTAACTAATTTCAGGACACTTCATTTGATGGGAACAAAATAAAAAAACGCAGGTAAAATGCACAGGGTTAAAAACATTTTGTATGGTTATTTTCCTCAGGAGAGTCCAATCTTGTCGCGCTTGCGAATTGGGTCAAAACAATTTCTACCCGTGCGCGCTTTTAATTATATTAGAGACCTTAAGCATCGAGAACATTGCCGTCCGGGACGTTGACCGGAAATGATTTTCGTGTGACGTAATACCGCCAGGACGCAGTCAAGGTTTTGTCCAGGACGTGGGTTTACATTGTATTGAGTTTTGGAGAAAACGTAAACAAAACTATGGCTTTTCCCAGGAAAGCTCGGTCATTAAACAATGTCCCGGACGGCAATGTTTCGATGCTTAAGGTCACTATTTTATCAAGCAAACAAAACGTGAACAAACCCTATCTCTTGCCTATCTCTTGACAGGTTTCTTTATAAACATTATTATTAGCATGACAAAATTACTGGATGCTGATTGGTTGAGAGGAGTACAATTATTTCATTAATTGTACCGCAGTACAATTAATGATTTTCCCAAAACAAACAAAATGCCGGAAAGGTATTTTAAACACAAACGTGAACTGAAATTGCTCTAGAGGAACTAGATGAAAATACGAACAAAAGCACCAATTTTTGCTTTAATAAAAGAACTAAATGAAAATACGAACAAAAGCACAAAATTTTGGTTAAAAGTCTGGCAGCCGGGCTTTGGCGAGAGAATATGATGTTGACAATGAGAAGTATCCAATTTTGTCATGCTAATAATCGTCCGGCGGCGACTCGCCCCGGTGGCTCGTCCAATTTTGGCAAAATTTCCAAACATCACTCGTACTAGTAATCCCTAATTGTACGAGCAACATCGCATGATTACCTATACTAATTATAACCGAATTGTAAAAATTAGTTATTCGGTATAATATCCAGAACTCCTGAATTTTAACATGCCCAAAATGAACATACTTCAAGTACTTCTTCCGGGCCGCTTCGTCAGTTTTCGGCATGTGATCGACAAGTTCCTGAGGAGGTTTGTACCTTCCTTCCCATGTAGAATTAAGGAAGCTGGATACCATGTCTGTGTAAACACCAGCCGGACATATGCAGTTCACTCGTACACCATGATCACGTGGCGATGACTGAAAAAGTAGTTGGTGGCTTAGTGGTTATATTTCATGCGATGTCTATATCTGGGGTAATGGGGAAAATATGTACTAAACGTTATTAGCATATCTTCGGAGGTGGAATCCTGGTTAAATTAGCCATGCAGGACTGTGGTTAACTACATTTTTGTGCATGTTACTAACACGAGAAGTCAAATTCGGTATCTACTGTAAAACGTGGAGAAATTCGTTACTCAACTGTTAACAGTGGCGGCCACTTCGTGAAATATTGGAGGTGGGGGGGGGGGAGGGGCAAATTAGGTTGCCAACATATGACCACTTTTCGTGGCTGCAGGAAATCTTAATTCTTTTATTTATTTAGACTTGTTTGCTTTAAATTTAATGCAACATACAGTATTAATAGCTTAATTTGTAGCCTATCAGTGCATCTCTCATTGTTAATATTGTCACAGGGTTGTTAAAATTTATCTCATTGTTAAAATGTTGTTACAGAATTATTCAGAGGCTTTCAAAAAAGGGCCGAGGCTGTTGCCCCCTCTTCCCAGTCTCCGCCACTGCCTGTCAATTTAATCATCACGGGATTACATGCACCTTGGGCGAGATTGCTAAAAGTTGCTGTTAATCATGCAGTTGTTAATATGTTAAAATTTTCACTCCATTTCGTAATTTAGTTGCTGATTTTACACATCAGTCAAAATCGCGTCTAAATTACTGTGAGGCTAAACCTTATGTGTTGTTGTTCCTGTTGAAATGAATGAAGGAATGGGAAGTAAAAATGAAAACTAACAACTCCAGTAATTTCCATTTACAACTCCAGAAATATTCTTACAACTTCAAGAAGTGGTAGAAAATCCAGCTTACGTGCAATAACTCCTGGAGTGTACAAGTATTGTGACACCTGGCCAGTGAAGTCAATTAATGAAATAGTGTCCCTAATTGTTTAATCTTATTCAAATTTCAACTGTATATTTCCTGTTTACTTATACCTTATTTTGTGTTCAACTTATTGTAATTGTAATGACTTCATGTAATTCTAAGTGTAATGACTGTATTTGTATTTTTTTAATGTAGTTTTGAAATTCAAATCTACGTCCATCTTGGAAATCAGCTCTTGCTGTTGGGCTTAGCACAGTAAATAAAGTTTTACCATATACCATGCAATGAAAAGACTCTGAATCACAAACCTGCGCAATACATCGTGAAAAATGAACGACACCAGCTTTTGTAGAAGAGTAAATAGGAATCATCCATAAATGTGCTTTTATACCTGAAAAGTTAATCTTTTATTGTGGTAGTATAATGACCCATCGCAAAAATCTGCTTCAAACACTCATTAATAATTCATAAGCTTATGACAACGTGCAGTGACTTTAAACCTGATAAAACACTCCTAATTAGTATTTTTTATATAAAGAATACTAATAAGGCATTATCACTGATCTGAAATAGGACTGGATAACGCATCTATAGTATACAAAAGTGAAGCCGGCAGTCACCGGCCGCCACCCGATTCTGGGGCCCCACTTTTGTATAGATTTGTATTACAGACGGTAGTTTTTCGCGTTTTTTGCCTTGGCTACGTTTCCGATCGGGCCAATTTTACAATCACAATGATAGAAGCATACAAGAAGAATTTTGAGCAAACAATTTGGAGTATTATGGCTTTATAACGCCGCGAAACGGGATTTACAACTCTGAAGGAGTGGAGAGCCTCAGACTTTGTTTATCAACACCACAGGCGGCCCAATCTCGCAAGGGTCAGTATAGACTTTATATAGTATGAATGTATATTATATTAATGTATATTATAGTAAAAATATGTCGTAAAATATAAATTTTAAAATGAAATTGACTTGCCTATTTGATAGTGTGTGTTCTCCTTTTATTCTTCCTTTGTTGGACTAATATTTTCCAAGACTTTGTACTCGATGTTACTAGTATACATGAAACATGATAAAGGCTAACGATTCCCGATCGTCGATACGACGGCACGGCACTTCGAATCGAAAATTCTCACACTCAAATCGCTTTATTCTCCAAAAAAATTCGCCAGCATGTACAACAAATGCCGTTCTTCGAAAATACAGAGGTACTTCGGCGAGATGTACAAGTTTTGGACCATATTTTAACAATGGAAATCAAAACCCATTTTATATTGAACTTAACCGGACCGAAAATTACTACGGCGAACGTCTGCGCAACCAGGCCTCCTTTACCGTTGGATTTACGGGGGGGAGCAGATATTTCCGGTAACAGCCAGCCAATCGCGGCCGCGATAGCGACTGTTTACATTATTTGAAATTTGATATTCAAAATAAAAACTCCTTCGATCGGATACTGTATAAAACTCGAGATGTTGTCGAAGAAAAGAAAATTAAACGACGGAAATTGAAGAAATTTAAGGAAGAAGTAATATACAGCGGCTCTTTGTTGGAAAGTATCGTAGAATATGATACTTTAATTCGAAATATTATCGTGAACATATTAGTGGCATCCTCCCCCCTGTAAATCCAACGGTAAAGGAGGCCTGGTTGCCCAGACGTTCGCCGTAGTAATTTTCGGTTTCGGGTAATGGGTTTTGATTTCCATTGTTAAAATATGGTCCAAAACTCGAAGTGCCGTGCCGTCGTATCGACGATCGGGAATCGTTAGCCTTTATCATGTTTCATGTATACTAGTAACATCGAGTACAGAGTCTCGGAAAACATTAGTCCAAAAAAAGGGGGAATAAAAGGAGAACACACACTATCAAATAGGCAAGTCAATTTCATTTTAAAATTTATATTTTACGACATATTTTTACTATAATATACATTAATATAATATACATTCATACTATATAAAGTCTATACTGACCCTTGCGAGATTGGGCCGCTTGTGTCAACACGAGCGTTTTGCTACTTTCATACAAAATCAACTCAAAATATACAAGAATTACTGTTACTGGACGAATATTCTCATGATCAGGAAATTTGAAGAAATGAAGCAGCTACATAATGAACAAAAGCGTACTGAGGTTAGTTTTAAAATACCTTGATGCTACTTTTATAATTATATGAATTAAATTAAGGACAATTTTAAATGTCAATTTTGACTTGTCGAGAAGTTTTATGTTTTAAAGTAGGAAGACAAGTGACAATCAAATATTTTTTAATCCAAGTTAACAATGACTCAATACGATGTGTTGTTATTATTAGTATTATCGATGGTTAAAGAGAACAAGTTTGTTTATTAAATTTCTGCCTTATATAAATGTTTCCACAGACTCCACAGGCATCTTGTATAGCTTCCTTGCCAAGATGATAGATCATAGATATAGCCCGACTTTACAATATAAACATCTTACAATACATTTGACCAGGTTGTGAATGTGGTTCACCTTTCATTCACAACCTGGTCAAATGTATTGTGAGATATTATTTCATTAAAGCACAAAGAAGCTACATAGGTAATTTATATATGACGCCTGTGGAATTATTATAAGAAAGAAATTAAACAAACCTGTTCTCTTAACCCATCAATATTAACAACCCATCAATAACATTGTATTGTCTATTGAGTCATTGTTCACTTGGATTAAAAAATATTTGATTGTCACTTGGCTTCCTACTTTAAAACATAAAAACTTCTCTACAAGTCAAATATGGCATTTAAAATTGTTCCAATAGGCAATATTCATGTAATTATAAAAGTAGCCTCAAGGTGTTTTAAAACTAACCTCAGTACGCTTTTGTTCACAACGTAGCTGCTTCATTTCTTCAAATTTCCTGAGAATATTCGTCCAGTAACAGTAATTCTTGTATATTTTGAGTTGATTTTGTATGAAAGTAGCAAAACAAGCTCGTGTTGATAAACAAAGTCTGAGGCTCTCCACTCCTTCAAAGTTGTAAATCCCGTTTCGCGGCGTTATAAAGCCATAATACTCCAAATTGTTTGCTCAAAATTCTTCTTGTATGCTTCTATCTTTGTGATTGTAAAACTAGCCCAGTCAGAAACGTAGCCAAGGCAAAAAAACGCGAAAAACTACCATCTGTAATACAAATCTATACAAAAGTGGGGCCCCAGAATCGGGTAGCAGCCGGTGACTTCCGGCTTCACTTTTGTATGCTATAGATGCGTTATCCAGTCCTATTTCAGGCCCCGATTACACCAGCCTAGTCCCTAGGCCTCTTAGTTCGCCTATTGCGCGTTTCTGCATATTAATGAGGTGACGGCTCCTGAGAGGCCTAGAATAAAATGTTTCAAGTGAGCCAAAAGGGGGGACAAAGTGTCCCCACTTGCTGTATTGAGATCAGTGGCTTGCGAAAATGGCGCCGTTCTCATGAGCGAGTAAAATGTTTATAGATTTGTATCAAATTGACTTTTATATTTGCGACAAGTTGGATTAAAATTTTGTGGTTTTAATATATATTGAATAGAAGCAGTGGTACATAAATTAATATACTGAAAAGACAATATAGTAAAGCGGAATTGATGCTAACAAAAAACAAGAAATCGGTGAGAAATATTTTTAAATATAGAAGGTGAGAATTTATTTATCGATATCCTGGGATACCTCTGCTGTATAAATGTAGAATATTAACTAAATACATGGTAAATATAGTAATGATATTTATCAATGCACTATTGAAATGCATGTATTCACCTGTGTTAACAAGAACATTTGAATATTTGCGAGCTTTGCGAATTTATAGATCAAAATATAGATCTGTTATGTACTTGCCAACAATTTTGATTTTATAATTTTTGTTTGATGTTTAGGAATTGAAATGTTTTACCTGTGGCAGAAAATTTAAATGGTGTCATACAGGCATATACAGGGACAGTTGTCAAGAAAATATATAATTAAACAAGGTCATATTTGAAGAATTTGGTGAAAGTGGTATTTGTGAGTGACAAAGTTCAGGCAAAAGACATATTGGACAACATGGATGTACATAATTTTGCTGTTCATTTATTTCGTCAAGTCAGGAAATGGCCGAACTGCAGTCTGCATAGTGTCATGTTTGTAATATTTTCAAACAAGATTCACCTGATCACCACCCAACAATGGCTTGTTGTTGGACTTCCGGGAACACCGATATTCTAGTTTATATTCAAATGTTACTTGTTCGAACTAGTTTGCGTTAGAACATTCACAAGGTACAGCATCTAATTCTGATTAGTATGTGAAAACTGAAGCAACAATTTCAACACGAACACTCCAGGCAGGCACATGTGAACAGGAATAGAATAAAATTTGGAGGTTAATATTGTTAATTTAATACATAATAATAAATGTATTTATTGTAATAAAATTATGATGAAATTTATTATTATTAAAATTATTATTGAATTTTTAATTTATTAAATTGTTGAATATGATATTATTACAGCTCCAGTAGGCAGAAATAAGCCCCAAAGCATCATCTTTTATTAGTTGCTCTGCAGAGAAAGCATCTATTACAATTATTATTTTTTTTATATACATGTAAAATATCCAAAAACTTTCTCCATGACAGGTTGCAAATCACTTGAAGGTGAGAAAGGCAATAAACCAATCCAAGCCCTCTTCAACAGATATCTCTTGTGATACATGTCACTGGAATATTGCTTAATTTTTATATTGCACTCAGTGATGGTTGCTTTTTCCAGAAAAATGACTTTGTACACTTTACCATCAACCTGCATCAAATCACTATATAATCATAATAATATTAATACTCAATACAAGTACTCTTTATTGCTGTGGATATTGTTACTGCAATATTTGCCTTTTATGCTCAAATGAATCCACATCTCTATGAACAAAAGAGGCAAATTGTCCTGGCAGTGCACCATTTAACACCCGTATTCTAAAAGCTCACTCACACTCAGTGAGTGGAGGTTCAATCTGAGCTTGCCTTGAGTGTCAATGTTATTTTTGAACAGCTGGAGGGCTAGTGTCACCTCGTACTCAGTGACTACTTACCTTCCCTATTCCAAAACAGCATTGACACTCAAGAGAAGCTCAGATTGAACCTACACTCATCGAGTGTGAGTAAGCTTTTAGAATATGGGCATAGATCTCTATTTAAATGCATCTATAGGCCATCTAGCAGGAATCAAACCTGCGTCTCTGCGGTTCCGGTCCAGTGCTCTAAGCTACAAAGTCCAGGTGTCAAGCTCTAACCACACGTTCATGTATATATACAAAAGTAAGGGGCAGCTGGTTGGATTCCTGCCAGAGGGCCTGTAGTTGCATTTTTCACAACTGCCCTTGGTCAGGACTCATAAATGTATAAACTTTAC